GCCGACCTTCATCCCTCGGATTAACCCATAAGAAAGATGAAGCTAACTATAGTGGAAAGATACTGTCTATTCCATCTCAACAATCGCATCCAACCCTTATGTAAACTGACAACTTTCGGGATCAGATGACAAAAACAAGAATAAACGAAGAGAAAGACACAAGGGAAGTGAAAAGTATTCTTCTATTCCAAAAAGGGGCTTTGTGTCCCCAAGGCTACAAAAGTGAAAGAAAAATACATGTGACAAAAGAAAAAGATCATAGTGAAAAACTTAAGTTACTGGCGGGGGAGTGCTGAAAACTTTACCAACATCGGCGGCAGGCACTTCACTGAAGAGCTCCTCTATGCTCGGAGAACCGGCATCCGCAGCTTGAACAGGAACAAGAATAGGAGTGGGAACAGGAGCAGGGGCATGAGTAGGAGCGGGAACAGGACCAGCAGTAGGAGCAGTAGCAAGAGCAGACACAAGAATAAGATCCTCCAATTCAACAACTGGAGGGTCGGCGATAATGAGATTGATAGCAGCACCAGAAGACTCCCCCAGTCCATGCATTTGGGCATGAGCAACATCCTCAGTTGTAGCCTGCCTCATTTTCGTCGAGGGCACATACTCGTGCATTTGAAACAACAGAGACTCTAGAGGAACCCCTAGCTCCCGAAGCATTGCGTCCCAGCCCTTCTTGAAGAACTCAGTCGTATTTTCTTCAAGAGCAGCCAAAACGTCATCGACGCACTCATCCCTGATCTGCTCTGCCGTTTTCTGATTAGTCTCCATCTTAGCCCTGAGCCTATCAAGTTCTTGAGTCAGAGTAGAACAAGTTTGCTCCGACTCCTTAGCTCTGGCCTCGGCTGCAGATAGTCGTTGCGTTTGCTCGGTTATTCTTTTCTCGGCCTCAGTAAAAGCTACGCTCTGCTTTTCATCGCTAGCCCTTCTCGATTCCGCGTCCTTGAGCAGTTGAGCTATTTGAGCCGCTTGAGCGGAAAATGTTTGATCTCTAGCGATCACGTCCTCATTAGCTGCTGCCAAAGTTGATTGAGCTTCAGCTTTCCCTCACTCGGCTTGCTGGAGATTCTTTTTCACAGCATAGTAGCGAGCTGCAATCACAAATATTTGTTGGGAAGCCTACTGTAGAAAAAACATGAAGAAGGTGGGATAAATACTAAGGGAAGCATAAAGAGAATGTACGACTTACCACCAGGGATTTTTGAATGATGGAGCGAAATAGTTGATTGGTTGGTTGTTCTCGATATAGCGCCATGTCGACCTCAAAATGGATGGATTCACTCACAGCAAAGGCTATGTGAGAATCCTGGAAGATGGAGTCGTTGACGTTTATAATCTGTCCTCGACGGTCGACAGCTCGGGGATGCCACTCCTCAACGGCTGTCGTCAGAGGGGAGGGAGAAGGAACTTCCTGTTATTGTTGCTGAGGATGAGAATGCTGGCCTTTGCCTTGGCCTAGGCCATCTTGTCTTGCTTTAGTTCTCCTCTCCTCCTCTTCGAGTAAGGGGTCTCGATCTCAGACCTGGCTTCTCCTAGTGGGCCTAGAAGGAGGAAGGGGAAGGACATTGATGTTGGTTCTTCTTGAGGGAGGAGGAGGGGATCACTTGGCGTTCCTTTCCCTCTACCGACGGGAGGAGGGGTACTTCGCTGAGGGTTCCTCTACCCCTCCTGGTTGCTTGTTGAGCCCTCTGGTTCAAAAGGGCGAGATTGATGCGTTGAGGATGACAGGACATAGCTGCGTCAAGGGCTACTTCAAGAGCGTCCTCCTCGTCTAAATTTTGAAGGATCTGAAAATCAGGCCAAAAGTCCCTCCCTAATGTGCTGGGTTCGGTACAAACGAGGGCAGAAGGTTCACTAATCACAACTGCTTCAACTCCTTCTACCTCGGCCTTAGAGGCCCTGTTAGGGTGTGCTTCCAAATTCTCTTCCAAGTCTTGCTCGGCTTGGTTGAATAGCTCAGACCACTTGGAAAGATCGTAGGGTTGAGGAAGTTGTGAAAATTTCTTATATCTATAACCCAAAAGTCTATGCCAAGCTCGGTCACGTCCGTCTCCGACATATCCTCAGACGGTGACAATGTTGTCAAAATTCACCAAATGTCGGGGTGGAGGAGCAGTTTCACGAGTAGATAGATCTGCACATTATGAGGATAGTAAGACTTGCATGCATAAATAGGAAAGTAAAAAGATAAAAATGCCAAGAGGGAGAGGCCGACGTACTCGTTGTTCGCCACTCCTTAGGGTAGGACAAGCCGATGTACTGGGAGCCGACTCCCCTCTCCCAGGCTCCGCTGAAGATCAGCAGGTCATCCTTGTATACTTTGTCAGAATCAGGGAGATGGGTGACAATGTACATGGATAGGTCCTGGGCTTTGAGATAGAACATTTGCTAGGAGGATACCCTCAACAGGGTATAACAGAATAAAATATCCTCGAGGCCTAAATTGACCTCAAGGTGTTTGTTAAGTTCCACCACCCCCATTATGATCCTAAGAACATTAAGACAACATTGCCCGAGAAACAGGCGAACCGAGACAAAAATTGAAGCAGCAGAGGATGGAGTGGGAATCTGATTCCACCCTCCATGATGGCTTTGATATAGAAGGGCATGACATTCTCGGTGCCAACACGAGGATTGTGGGCGGTACTTTTAAAATCTTCTATGCCGACATTACGAGGAATGTGGTAACCAGCTGTAAAATTCACGATTTGTTCATCATCCTTGACCTCATGCTTTCTCGGCCTAGAGGAACCTGCCTCCTAGGCTTCGGCAAGGGGTCGACGTCTCGTCATCTTTTACAGATAGGAAAAAAAGGATCGTTCTATGAAGGAATTCCTAAAGGGTGCTACAAATGAACGAATAAATGAGAGGGAGTACTAAGAGGCCATTAGCCTTCTTTTCTTGTTTGAAAGGCAAAGCAACGATGACCCTTTTTTCAGGCCAGTCACCGGTAAGAGAGGAAAAGTACAGAGAGAGAAACACAAGAACTCACCGAAATTTGGAAATGCAAGGAGAAAGTTTGAGGATGGCCCCCTTTTTCGACGAAATGCAACAGAGAATGCAAAAGTTTAGACCCCTTACTCTGGTGAAGACTGTGCTACAACAACGACTGAAAATAGTAGACTCTCAAAGGTTGTTCCGATCGTTTCTCGGACGAAAAATCTCAGAAATGTGAAAAGTGCAAAAATGACGATGAGTGGAGGTTTATATAGGGTTACCTCTCCATCATGATTGCGCACGAAGCACGAAGGGGCAAATTTAATGCGCACAATCCCCAAAAGGCGAAAAACGACTGTACGCATAATGATGAGGCAGTTGAATAGATGAGCCCTTTCATCTTCTGCCGACACGTGTCCTTGGCAAGAAAAGATCAAAGGGATGGGGGCAGTTGATGGGACATTCCTTAGGAGTAATACAATCAAGACATGTGTCCTCGGCCCGAGGTATGTTGATGTCCCCACTTGAAGCTGTTAGAAACCATGGATTACCTCGTCGCCGAGGTCCCTTTTTAGATTTGCTATATATCTCGGTCCCGAGGTGACATCTATGGGACGCATGTCCTCGGCACCAATAACAAAACCTTTTGATGTGGATATTGACAAAAGTTGCTGCTGTTAGCCGTCTAGTATTAATTTGCCCTCTCGAAGAAGTCAATATGGACAAGACACTCCACCAATGAATAGCAGACGAGTGGCGGGAAGTACAACCAAAAAGATAGTCGATGGCTATTCCTGTTTGCACATTTAATGGATCCACAGTGATGGAACGTTAGTAAAGACCATTAAATGATCGGGAGCCCGAGGGGCCTCAAACCATTAATGCTGGGGCATTTCCTATGCAAATTAATGGGGCACATTGCCCCATCTTTGATGACTACCTACGGTCTAGGCTATCAGACAATGATGGGCAATCTACTACCTAGACTATCAGACAATGATAAGCCTTCACGAGGTATAAATACCGCATAAAAGCAAATGACAAAGGTACAAGACACTCTGTTTCAAGAACCATACAATGTTTTTTTCTTCTCTACTCTCACAACAATTGACTTGATCGTTGGAGGGGATATGTTGAAAAATACTCCGGCTCCCTTCTAATCCGTTTTTCTGTACTCCAGGAATTCCTCGAAGCCTTCCTGGACTATTCAGGCAACCCATCAAGCAATTCATCACCACTTCTTAGGCCACCTTTGACCTTCTTAACCTATTCCAGGCAGAAAGATCAACCACTTCTTTGATGGACTCGAGTTCACCAAGGGAGATATCTGTTCTCACAAATATTGTGCAGAAATTTACACGCACAACTAGTTTCTACTCCGAGCTGCAAAGCATTGAGTAATGTTAGATACATTTAAAAATTAAATTTAAAAATAAGACTTGATAATCTTAACTATTGAATAGGTAGTGAGTCCCAATAAATGCTGAGACCCATAGTGAAATTAATGGTTGTAATTATCATTTTTAATTTTTAAGTCTACTTTTTAAATCCATGTAGTATTGCTCCAGAGCATTATATGCTACAGATTTTGTTGGTGGTTTGTCCAACCGATATGAAAAAACTATACTTTGGCCCTCTCAATTGTCGTCCCCGACTCACTGTTCCTTTAACTACCATATTTATCACATTACACCTTCAATTATGGTTATTAGTTTTATATTGTCCCAGTGACTAATGTATGTTAAAAAGTTGTTTTACTTTGCCTCTCAAAAACTACGTGATTTTGGTTTATTTTGCATTAACACGTGGACATTTTTCCACCAAAAGGTAGTGGACATTTTTCCACCAAAAGGTAATGAACATTTGATTTAGAGGCAATGTTTGAAACTAATTGAAGTAGTTGAGTGGTAAATGTGAGTTTTAAAAGTTCAAGGGCAAAGTAAGATCGAAGACATAGTTTAAAATGGTGAAAGTGTAAATTTCCTCACATGCTCCATTCCAGGTTATTACATATACGGATCAATGTTTAGATGGTAGACATCAAGTATTGAGCATAAGAGATGGCATTGCCTAATGGGGAGCAATCCAGTGAGCTACTTAATGCCCAAGCTCACATATGGAACCACTTATTCAACTTCATAAACTCTATGTCACTCAAATGTACAATTCGGCTAGGCATACCAAATGTTGTCCATGGCCATGGCCGGCCAATGACCCTCTCTGAGTTGGTCGACGCTCTCTCGAATGACCGGGCAAAAGCCCATTGTGTTTGCCGCCTCATGTGCATTCTAGTTCACTCTGACTTTTTTGTCATGCAAAAAATCTCCAAAAATGATGACGAAGATGGCTATTTTCTTACACCAGCCTCTCGGCTTCTCGTGAAGGATAATCCCTCGAGTCTGGCTCCATTTTTGCTAGGCATGCTTGATCCGATCCTGACAGAGCCATGGCATTATATGACTGAATGGTTCCAAAATGACGATCACTCCATTTGAAACTGCCCATGGGCGGGCATTTTGGGCATATGGAGACCATGAACCGAGGCTTAACCATTTTTTTAATGACGCCATGGCTAGTGATGCCCAGTTGGTCACAAGTGTGGTAATTAGAGACTGTAAGGGAGTGTTCGAGGGGGTGAATTCCTTGGTAGACGTTGGGGGCGGCACTGGGGCAGTAGGAAGGCCATTGCCGACGCATTTCCAGACTTGAAGTGCACTGTGTTTAATCTTCCACATGTTGTTGCCGGCTTGGAAGGGAATAAGAACTCGAGCTATGTTGCGGGAGATATGTTTGAGGCTATTCCTACTGCGGATGTTGTTTTACTCATGGTAGGTAGTGAATTCCTTTTCATTTGTATTGGGTTAATTAAACTTTCCCCCCATGGAGTTTAAACTAATACCTCTTCAGTCCTTAACTTTTTTGTGGCCAATTTCAACTTCATTTTCCAGTAAGGAAAAAAAAATTACGGCCCTGTTTAGTTTGTGTTTCAAAAAATAGTATCCGAAAATAATTTTTGAGAAGAGTTTTAAGAAAGTGATTTTGATATTTTTTGAGATAAAAAACTTGTTTGGTTAGATGATTTCAAAAACAATTTTACAATACAAAAAATAGTAAAACCTGTTTAGACAACCTAAATATATATTTGAATAATAATTCAAACATTAATAAAAAAATATAAAAAAGTTATTTTTAAATTGACAATTTCATAAAAAAAAATATACAATAAACCAAACTTTAAAAAAAAAAAAAATATATATATATATATATACACCCAAATATGAAGATCCAAAATTATTCTCATTGTTTCCAAAATTTTCAAAGAAAACTCTGAAAACAAGCTACACTTGTTCTTTGATTCAATCTCATTTTTTCCCAAAATTTAGAGAACAAAAATGCTAAACAAACAAGTTTTGGATATTTTTAAAATTTTGAGAATAAAAAACTGTTTTCGGATCACAAACCAAACATGACCTTAATTGTCCCCATAAAGGTAAAATCCTTAATTATAGGAAAATTACCAAAAAAAAAAATTGCAATATAACTAATTAACATAAAGGCACGTGTCGTATGAAGTCCAACCCAACTGACGTTATTGAATTTGGAATCTTATATAATTTATTATTAATTTTCAAATTATTTCTTAAAACGACAAAAATTGGGTTTTGAGGGCCTAAACGATGGAATTCGATCCAAAACTAAAGGAGCTCATGACAAAACATGGATCTTGATCGTTGGCCCGATCCAAATCAAACACTACTAGTCTCAATCAATTTTGGGTTCGGATCATTTCGCCTCTACTATTATTTTTTTTATTTTTCTTTAGGTCTTTTTACTCCAAGTAATTAACAACCACTTATTCTATATCATGAATAAAGTCTCAAAATTTATAATTTATTCCCCTAGAGTCATAACTTAGCCCGTTTAACTTAGAACTTGAAATAATTGAATCATAACTTTTGATACTGTGCCAGAATATTAGCATCGAAAACAGTTTTTTTTCGTAGATAGACATGATATGTCGGCGATTTAGCTAGCTAACTAATGTTTTCTCTTTTTCGTTTTTATTATAGTCCCTTTTCGTGATTTTAAATTTTCTGATTAATACTGTATTGATTGTGAATGGCAAACAGTGGATATTGCACGATTGGAGCGATGAAGAGAGTCTTCGTATACTAAAGAAATGTAGAGAGGCGATCTCCATTGAGAATAAGGGAGGAAAGATAATTATCATAGACATGGTTTTGGAGAACCAGAAAGAGGATGACAACTCCATTGAAACACAACTCTTTCTTGATATGTTGATGATGGTTCTGGTCACGGGCAGACAGAGAAATGAGAAAGAGCGGGCAAAGCTCTTCTTTGATGCTGGTTTCAGTGACTATAAAATAAGTCCCATACTAGGATTGAGGTCTCTTATTGAAGTTTATCCTTGATTCAACCTCGTATGTGTTGTCTTAAATCAAGAGCAACAAAGCGTGCAATAAACACTGTTAGGGTGTTAATTCCTAAAAATTAAGATCCAAAAGTCTACAAACCCCAATGTTTTATTGATATTTATGACTTTCTTATATATGATGTATTGATGTTTATGACTTTCTTGTTGTGTTTTATTGTAATTGTTTATATATTATTGAATTTATTATGTTTTCTTTAGTACTATTGATTTATGGTGTTAGTTAATTGGTGCAGCTTAATTAAATTGTTAAAATGATTCAAAAATTAATAACTAAAAAATATGTGTTCACCTGATTTCTTACCCGATTATTTTGGACAGAATTCGGGTAAGAATAGTAAACTTGGTCGGATATGGTATGCCAAAAAAAATTTTTTTATAAAGTATCAAGTAGAAAGACGAAATACTATAATTCCTACCCGTAAGGTAGACTGAACACCCCTAAACACTGTTATGATATTGAACTTGAAAAACATTCTTCATAATTAATAATGGATGTCCACTAGATTAATTTTCTATCTCTCACCCAACTATTCCACCACCCGAAATAAAACTTGCTATGTATTATTGTCCATTGAAAGGCCTACAAAAGGTGTGCGAAAGCTTGAATCAGAATGCTAACGAAAAAGAAAAAAAAAAGAGAAGAAAAAATATAATGTGATCCCGAATATTAATTCTTTGATATATTAAATTTATGACGGCCTTATTTTATATGTAGTCAACCCATTATGACCAATTTATTAAACTGGTTAAAAACGAATTGAATTTGTTTTGCACTCAACTCACTTTGAACCACTCATAATAAAACCAAACCGTTCATTTACCACCTCTACTTGCAACACTGGCTGATTAGCCTCGATCCTAATTGTAAAACGTTGAGAACTATTCCGAGTTTTTAAGATTATTATTTTTATAATGTTAGAGTTGATCCCAACAATTTTGATTCTCACCCAATCGAAACTTTTATTTTTTTAGGTACTACTAACATGGTTAAGTCATATTTTTTTCCATTTCTGTTTTCTCAATACAATACCGAAAGTAATATTTTTACAAGACAACTCAACTCATCGTGGAGGTAATTTAGGGAGAGCATCAAGAGTTGGTGTGACAGAAATAGTCTCTCCACGTTTAGGGATAAATTGAGTACATCTGATTCTTCTCAAATCCACATTTAGGAGTGTTCACCTTACCCTATGGGTATGAATTATGGTATTCCATCTTCCTACCCATTACTTTACAAATTTTTTTTTTTGGCTTATCCTACCCAATTAGGTGTATTATTTCTACTCGAATTCCATCCAAAATAATCGGGTAGGAAGTCGGGTAAACAAATATTTTTTAATTATTAATTTTTAAATCATTTTAATAATTTAATTAAATAACCTGCACCAATTAACTAACACAATAAACTAATAACACTAAAGAAAACACAATAAATTCAATAATACATAAACAATTACAATAAACACAACAAGAAAGTTATAAACATTAATACATCATATATAAAAAAGCCAAAAATATCAATAAAACATTCAATAACTTTACTTTCCTCCCTTACAATCTCTTCGAGTGGTGGACCAGGGCAAAGCCTGGCCCTCGGGGTTAGATATTTGAGTGTGAGTCTAGATTGGTAAGGTGTTCCGGGGATGGGGCTTTTGCCTGCGCAAACAAACCCTTCCTAATACGCTATAACAATCCTAGGGGGTAAATCAGAATATAAGGGAAGGAAATAAGACAAGACTCATCAACTCATGAACTAAGTAACTCAATCACAAGGAGGGAAATAATACATGGAAGACTCATGAACTCAGTAACTCATCACTTCAATAACTCAATTCAGTCATCCTTTCCTCCATTCTTTCTTAAAGTCAGGAATGGCGAAGAGCAGCTATTGCAACTCATACTCCCGCTTCTAACTTCGAACAGGGAAAACTAATAATTCATAATCTACTTTGAACTCTTTTTTGTGCTTGCTTGCTTGCACACACACACACACACACACATATATGAAGATAGGGTGGGGTAGGGTAGAAATACAAAAAGTTTGTAGGTATTCTGTATTCCTACCCAATTTTTTAAAAAATACCAAAAACTCTTTCGTTGGCCTACCTGATTCTTTTGGATAGCCAATTAGTAAAGTCGAGTAGAGTAGGATAAATTGAAATTTGCGGATCATCAAAAATTTGAACACCCCTCCCACATTAGCAAAATTATGTAAGGCATTTTTTTAAACTAACCCCTAGGACAATAGGTTTTGAGAGAATTCAGAGAATCTATGACTATAATGGATATCATGGATCCAGGCTTGAGAGATTCAAAGTTGTTCTATTATTTGCCTTTGATATTCAAATATAGTTATGCTGGTTATAAGTAGGGTTTGGACAATTTTAATAAAATATTAATCCTTTAATTCAACATTATTAGAATGATTGTGATGCTCTTAAAGGATCTAACTGATCTTAGACTATACTGGTGTTCTTAAACTAAGCTTCTTAAACTGTTGCTTGCAATCTGTCTTTCCTAATTAGGTAATTAGGGTTGCCAAATCTGATACTTCAAAAATTTCTGGGCTAATAAAATTAAGTAGATCTCTCTCACTCCAGACAAATAACAGTTGAAGTGCTCATGTCACCAAAGAGTGATGGGAAATATAATAACACCACTTGACATAGAAAAGAGTGCAAGGATCACATGGATGTGGATAATGTTGGACATAAACAAATTTGAATTAATGGGCTGCTCATCAGTCTCACCAACACCATTTAAAAGAACACAAAAATTAATATGGCCAACTCTTTGGTGAATTATTGATGGGCCAGGCTCCAATCCAATTGTTATCATCTAGTTTCTACTCTTAAAGTATATCCGACTGTGCTCCCTATTGAGTAAATATTTAATGCAACGGTGATACCATGTTATCACTATCATGTTGTGTCACCATTTAATTAAAAGATTAAAAATAGGTGAAAAGGACCCCATTATTTTTATTACTACCAGCAACCACTTTATCCAATTAGCAATACATATGATTAATGGGATCCACTTTACTTATTTGTTGTCTTCGAATTGGATGAAGACACCATGTGACGGTAATGACATGATATCACCGTTACAATAAATATTTTCTCCTATTTTAGAGCAAATAGTGAATATATTTTCTAATATAAATAATATCTATTGTAAAATGTTAAAATAGAGAATTAATTTTTAAATACCACTCCAATAGAACTCTTTATCCTTATCATTTTATCGTTTTTTATTTTGTTCTTTTTTAGGAATAAATTTGGATTTCATCCCATTTTGCCTCCATTCTTTTAACAAAATTTAATCTATAAATTATTCCAAACCAAGATATACAAACCAAACACAAAATATATACACCAACTTATTTAAAATCTAATTAAAAATCAATAAATATCTTATCGTATTTGTGCAATGTGAATAGTTTTGAGAGCGATATTAGTAGTCGTTGGATGAGTCCATTTAAAACTGTTGGTTGAGTTTATTGAAACATGTCCTATTTTATGTTATAGATATGGGGATAATCCGTGTCTAAAGACATGATGCAATTTAAAAAAAAAATCAAGCATTGAATTTAGGCACGTATTAAGCTAAAAGCCTATACTGTCTCCATAACTCGTGCTTGAAAATCCTATGCAATTCAAAAAAAAAAATAAACTTTGTTCTTGAACATGAAACAATGAAATACTGAATATAGGCAAGTATTAAGCTTGAATTTTTAATGTCATGACTTTGGTGAAATAAACTGGGTTAAAATGCTTTCGTTTTAGTTGTTAGAAGGAATGTTAACGCCTCAATGTAATAAACTTTCAAGCAGAGTATTCCTTAAAAATATGATGCCACAAATATTTTAACCTATCTACAAAACTTATATATTTCATAATCATACCCAAACTATAACATATGCATTTCTAGCTCCAAGTGAGCACCAAATACCACACCAACATAATAGTTTTTACCACCGCCTTGCCAAAACACAATTATTTATTGACTACCACAAAAATATTACAATATTAACCATCGTTATGCCTAAACATAACTATTTGTCAATTACCAAAAAAACACTAATAATAACCATTGTCTTGCCCATTTCAAACTATTTACAAAACTAATACAAAAAATATAACAAAATTAACCCATAGTATTGCCTAAATACAACTATTTGCCGACTAACACAATAACATTAACTATAAGATCAAAGAATGACCAAAAAAATATAATTATACAATACACTTGCAAAATGGATCATTCTTTAATCTAGTTTATCAAAATGGGTCATCCATCATTGGGTTCATAAAAAATTCTCTTCGTTACAACCCTGAATGTTATTGTATCAATCCAAAGGCACTTTACAACTTAAATAACACCACCAATTTGAAATAATTTTTTCTTCATATGCTTTACCTAAAAAAATTGAAATCAATCTAGTCCTCTCTAGTTTTTTAAAAATTTTCGACAAAGTTTTCTCTAAAAATAGATGCCTAGAAAAATCTCAACCCATATACAAACGTTAAATATCTCATAATCATACCTAAATCAACATCATAATATTAACTTTTCATTTCGCAATCCTTCCTCCAAACAACAATTAACCAACAAACACAACATAACAATTTACCTAGCTAATACCCGTGCCTAAAGGCACCATGCAATGCAAAAATATCACCAATGAGGAAAAATGAGATGAAATTAAAATAAGTTAACTCCATTCAATTATCAGTCAAATTGCGGATAAGTTAACTCCATTCATTGACAACACCAAGAATTAACTATGGTACTAAATGCCAAAAATCATATCATAATTAATGGTATACAAAATACCTATTTTATTTTAATTATTTTTCTTTATTCCTCAAACATATCAACAACCAAACTACTAAGATAAAACAATGTGGATCACCACATAAGTACCAACTCCCCCGGCACGATGAATTACTCTATAAAATAAGCAATGAAAAA